GTCCTCGGTCAGAGTCCGAGGTCGCGCGTCGGCCGGCAGCGTGACGCGGAGGGTACACGCCCCGACGCCAAGGTTACACGCACCTGCGAGCGCGCGGCGCGACCTTCACTGGCTGCGAGTCTTCGACACGCACGGATGTACCGCTGTTCGCACTGCAGGTCATCCGGGTCCATCGCAGGCGGCCAGGGGCTCCCCTGCCCTGCTCACTTCCAACGGTGCTTCGTTGTGCACACAGCGTCTTCAAAAGGCTCACATAACTTCCGATGGCTGCATGGTTTCAACTGGACTAGTCTCACAGGGCCCGCCGCTGCCCGTGCCGCATCCCTGCGGACACGCACCTGGCCACGCCTCGACCGGGCCCGAGCGGCCGCCCCGGCCCGTTGCGCGTCTCGTGCTGCCTGTGCCGACCGCCTCTCGCTCGAGGCCGATCCCAGGGCGTCCCGCTCCCCCGGAGACACGCTGTGTCACGCTCGGCGCTTGTTGTGCAACTGTGCGTTCGGTCTGAACAAGCGTGGGTAAGCTGAGGCGGTGAAGGTTCAGAAGCTTTTGATGAAGCAAGCCGGCCATGCTTCATTGCCAAAATGTCAGAGTGGTCCCAATTTCAGTGAGAGCCGCAGCGGCGGATGCCTCACTTGTCAGTTGCCATATTACATTCCCCGTCGATGCAGGTATGTATGTCGATGTATACAGTTACGTCGATTACAGTTACGTATACATTCCCCGTCGATGTATACAGTTACGGTTATCCATGCAGGGTATACAGTTAAAGTTATCCATGCAGGGTATACAGTTACGGTTATCCATGCAGGGTATACAGTTACGGTTATCCATGCAGGGTATACGGTTACGGTTATCCATGCAGGGTATACAGTTGCAGTTATCCATGCAGGGTATACGGTTACGGTTATCCATGTAGGGTATACAGCTATCATGATACTGAAACTGGTGGACTGGCGGAAAGCTGATCAGTAAATGAATAGCTTTCATCGGTCGGTGGAAGATAGTGTGCACAAACTAAAGACACGGGGAGATAGAACAAATGTGAATCGACAACGAGTTAGAGCACTGCCGTTTTGTAGTCATTGGACATTAACCGGAGACGTTCGAACCTGCCACAGAAGGTAGGCTGAACCTATTTTAAATTCAATTCTGCCACGTATTAGATCACCATAGAAAGCCAACATTAAAATCCATGAAAAGTTCACGGATTTGATAAATGCGCAGATGTTGGATTTATCCAGGGATGGGTCTCTGCCTAATTAAAAATCGTCAACAATATGGCTAGGGTCTATCCTGATTAAACATCTTCAAGCCCTGCCGCTTTCGGTGGATTGAAAACCACTCAAGCTATACCATAAGGGAGTCAAAAAGCCTCCAGTGTGGCACTACCTTGACAAAACACATTGTCGCTGTTTTGACAAACACGTTCCAGTGTGATACGGCCTAGACCAGCACGCTCCAGTGCGACACTGCCTGGACAGAAACAGTCTGGTGCAACACTACCTGAAGAAAATTCAACTATCAAGATTAGTTTGGTGTTTGAACGGAATAGTAGGACACTTAACATATACGAATACGTAGTGGAGTAGCCAAGATGAATCTTGTGGGGCTATTGACCCCCTGAAGGTGGGGGCGGGGGGCTCACTCTGGACCCGGGGGCCGATTCAGCACGCTCGTAGAGCTTTTTTAGCATAAGACGGACGTCGGATGCATTAAAATATTACTCTGAACCTCAAAAACGGACTAAATCATAGAGAAAACCACAAAAGCGGTGAAGATACCGCTAGAAGGTGGACCGAAATTGGCCACAGGGGCCCCTTTCAGTCCAGGGCCCATTCCCTGTCGCTACAGAACCCTATGTGTTACTCGGAGGATCACGGCAGGTTCGGGATCTTGTCTGGATAGCTTTGAGGTCCGTTCTGGGCGTTTTGGAAGCCTCACAGGCGTCTGAAACTCCCAAACAGCACTAGGGTCTTATGGCCTAGGCCCTCTCCCTCACCGCGCCGGAGCAGAGTATGGTCCCAAAAACTTCCACTTGAGAACGTCACTGTGCTTTTGTTATTGGTTCTGCTATGACAGGGCGTGAATTAAATTCCCATGTAAAATGTAAAATACGAAAAGTGCTGACGGACTACATTCAGGTACCATTTACCATTGCACTCGTTTCTCAACAAGCGCCCTTTATGTTACATGCATGTCATAGTGCGTGCCTTCCAATCGACCTTGCCTTATGCATTGCACTTAGGAGCCATATAATGAGAATTCATTAGCAAATCGTCCACAATTTTAAATGAGCAGTGTTGATCCAGCTGACAGCGGGCGAAACACCTGGAGGACAAAAGGAATTTCGCTAGTATTGTTCATGCAACTTCTCTCTCGTTTTCATAACTCCCCGTCTGTAAAAATACACGCGGAGCGCCATCAACGCTTCTTTAACTGCATAGTTTGTAAGTTTGTCCGAGACTAGGTCATTGCTTACGTCATTAGTGCCAATCGTGGCGCATTTGTATGCATGATTTTGTCTTACAAAAATGACATGGAATGTGCTTGCGGATGGCTTGAACGTTAAAGACTGGATTTCGAAAGACGATCCGCGTAGACCTCTAGTGCGGCGGTCATGACATCCTTGGCCTTTTCTCTCTATGCCTTTTAATGCTGCAGTCTTAGCAATATTTTATCAGATTAGGATGATTTTTAAGTGGCATCACTATGAAGCACCCGTGCAACCCGCACGACGGTGCCAGGGTGGCCACCTAGAACTCAGCGTGAGGCGACGGCGATGGTCGACAGCCAGCTTTTTAGCGTCCCCCTTCCTACGGGACACTCAAACAACTGGACACTTGGGCTCTTTTTGGTGACGGCCAGCTTTGGGTTTGCTCATAGCGGTGGGAAGTTGTGAGCCTCACAGTGCTGACTAGGCGCTTCGATTTTCGCGCTGTTAGCGACGTCGGCTGACTCTGGGGGGGGAGGGGGAGGGGTCTCATGACGACGCAGTTTGCTGGAGTGGCGTGTGGCCCGCCCTGCCCGGTGGGCCCACAGTCGGCCCACATCCCAGCCCGTGACGTCATGTGTCGGGTGGGATGACGTCACGAGCGTCGGGCCCGACGCGGGCCGACAGAGCAGTCTGCCGTCGACGCCGACGGCGTGAGGCTGTGCGGCGCAGACTCGTGGTCACCGCCATTGCTGGGGCTCCGGTGTTTGGAATCCGCTGGGGAGAGTAAAAGGTGCGGACGGTAATGTGTTAGAGTGGGCTTTAATGTTATTCGCAGGGCATCGTCACTTGTGAGTAAGTCGTGCTATTGGCAAAGAGTCGGTAATTGTAAACCTCGAGTTGGCTTCAGTTCGACAGAACTGGACCATGACGCGTGCACTGCTGTGGCTGGAACGGCCACTCGTTCAGACGGTCGAACGGTGCAGCGCTGTCACATCGGCTGTCAGAAGCATTGTGACGTCTGTGATGACGTCGATGGGTGACTAACGGGGGCTGGGAATGCCTGACTTCACCAGTACAATCGGCCTGTTGTAATTTCCGTTTCCGTTGGGCTTCGGGTACATGTATTACAATGCACGGGAATATACGCCGGAACCTCAACTTTAATTCATACCCGTAATAAAAAGTGAATTTGAATCACGCGATGTTTTTATATGCCGAGGCAGAAATTTTGCAGGCACCCAGGAATATGTTTTGCAATACAGAATTTTGAATTGTGCCTCTCACCCAATGCGAAGTCATGCGTACACCGCTAGGTGCTACGTTTCTTTGCTTGTATTCTTCGGCGGCAGCGGGAGCATTATGACATTCAACGTGTTATGACTGCCGCGCGTGGGTCGCAGTGTGACATTGCGGTCGTCTTTTTGTTTCTAAGCCGCATTTTCCGATTGGGTAATACGACGCTTTGTTCCCACGCCATGCCTTCGTATTGAACGATATTAAGCTGCCTAAATATCCAGCTGCTTCGCCCCCGTGTAGCAGCCACCAATATAGCGCTCTCCGTGAACAGTGAGCACCCGCCCGCTCTGCTCGACTCGCGGACTTGGTGCGGCTGCGGTCTGGTTGACGTGTAGTTTCTTTTGGCTTCACTGATATGTTGACAGCTAGGTAATTAACAAGAAAGGTGAGGAGTGAGATCACGCTCGAACCACCGCGTCGCACCAGCGGAGGGGCCTCCACCGTATAACGGGCGGAGGAAACAGAAGGCCGCTTAAAATCCCGGCTCTGACAAACCGCTGCCAAAATACCGGACACCCCTGGTCATGCGTGGCAGCGTGCGTAGCCAGCACGCTGTATGGGTTGACCTGCATGTGTCGGCTCAGCTGCCGTCGCCGGGGACTGCTGAATCGCTCGCATGGGGTAAACGGGGGACATATGTGACTCGCGTCGACCTTGACTGCCTGGCGGCCGACTGTTCGTGCAGCACAGCGCCGGCGGCTGGTGGCCGGGGGCGGCGGGGTCAGGCCTCAGAGTGTCGGGGTCACGCCGCGTGACACGCCCGTTCTCTCACGCCACAGGGGTCGTCCGACCGCACGGTGCAGAGCCGTGCTCGGGACGGCCCCGGTCGGCGGCGTGACGTCACCCGGCCCGGCCCGCTGGGTGCGGGAGGGCCTTGAGCGGCGGTGGCGTGCCCAGATTGCCGGGGCAGCTGGGGCGAGCGCTCATTCGGCGCGCGTCTCGCTGAAGGTGGGCACGGTGGCAGCCGTGTCGGTCCCCTCCGCCGGTGACGGCGCTTGCGGTGTCTGCCCGGCCGCTGGGACCGTGTGCTGAACCCTCTCCCGTCGCTGCCGCGTGTGCACGTCACCTCTCCATACGACGCTGGCTCCGTGCCTTACGTCCCTCGTTGCACTACCGTGACGCGTGTGGCAGGGGACGCGGGCGTTGTGACTGACCTTCCAGCGCCGAGTGGCGCAGCTACTTCATCCGTCCGCCGCGGCCGTCGCTATTTTTGCGCGGCGCCAGGTGGGCCTGGAGGACGTGTCGGTAACAATCGTGCCCGCCCGCGCAGGTCGGGAGCTGTCGGAAGCGGCCGAGTGCTGGGTAGCCTGCCACAGAGGACCATGGACTTCAGCCGCGACAGACTGGGCCAGCGGCCCTTCCATGAGGCCACCGGCGACAACATCTGCCCCAACATGGTGCGCGGCATCGACAACATGCGCGACCCCCGACTTAACAAGGTGAGCGAAATCGCGTGGGTGTGATTCAGTAGCGCGCGCGCTGGATCTTCACGAAACGCTGAAAAATTGCCGCCGCTCAATAAGTTCCATGTCAGCCACGTTGTGACCATCCTGCCATCGCGCGAGATCTGCCGTCGATATTGTCGACAAAAGCGACGGTAGCGCCTCAGGCCGGAGAGTAAACCGGACCAGACCGGCCCGGACAGTGTATTTGTACAACGCCAGCAATTGTCGAACGCCTAATGGCGCAGACTCAGACCGGGCATTGATAAACGGCCCGGGGTGAAAGATCGGACTGTACGCGTCCGATTGCCATGGAAACAGCCGTCGGGGGGCCGGAGACGGCGTGGTCAGACGCACCCGGGGGGTGCCCTCGAACAGCGCTTGACGGGCACGTCCGGTGGCCGCCGGTACCGCCTGCTGAACGGCTCGGCCGGACCCGGTCAGGCTGCCTGCGCCAAGGTCACACCTGAGCACGAGAGCGGAGCTAAGCCGCGCTGCCTTTCGCTAATGCCGCGCGTTTTTGGAATGCGTGCTTGGAGGATCGATGTCCATCATAAGCCCCCCCCCCCCCCCCTGTGTAAGCCGCTAGCTGTTGGCGTCCATCCCTCCTGTCCCTCTGTCTGTCTGTGTCCGGCTGGGGCCCCGTGCGCCCCTTTGTTTTTCTGTGTCCGGACCCGGCCGCACCTCTCCATCTGTCTGTGTCCGGCCGGGACCCTGTCCGCCCCTCTGTCTGTCTGTGTCCGGGCGGGGCCCCGCCCGTCCCTCTGTCTGTGTCCGGCCGGGGCCCCGCCCGTCCCTCTGCCTGTGTCCTGCAGAGGCCACTGCCCGCCCATCTGTCTGCGTCCGGCCGGGGACCCGCCCGTCGCTCCGTCTGCCTGTGTCCTGCAGGGGCCACTGCCCGCCCCTCTGTCTGTGTCCGGCCGGCGCCGCCTCACCGTTATCGGAACTTCCGACCGTCACGCTGCCGGCTTTGAGAGCCCCTCCCCCCCTCCCCCTCCCGGAAGTGGTCACCGATCGCGGCCACTTGCACGCGGCTTCAGGCCGGCGCCGATAGCTGCGCCGCCCACACTGGCAGCCTGCACGCCCGCCGACCTTACGCCATTCTGATTCTGTCTCGGTGTCTGTCTCTTTACGCATCCCTGTCTTCGTCGCTGTCTCTGGCACTGTCCAGCTGCCACTGTCTCTGTTACTCTCTCCGTCCCAGTTCCTGTCCCTGTCTCTGCTCCTGTTTCTTTCCTTGTATCCGTATCTGTATCTGTCTCTAACCTAGTGCATTCTGTTCACTTGACCGTGACCCTGGACCTTGTTCGTGTCTTCAACTAGTCTCGCATAAGTCATGCTCAGGTGCGACATCGGCTCTGGGTCGCATCATGTCCGGATCGTCCGGGCGCCGTCCGCCGGGCGCGGACTCGGCTGGCTCCGACCGAACGCGCCACCTCTGGCCGTGCCCGTAAACGCGCCCCGCAGACGGCCTGCGAACCCCGGCTCTGTGCCAAGGCCCGCCCCTGAACCTCTGCCAAGCTGGGGCCGGGCCGCCGACGTGCGTGACACTGGGAAGGCCGACGCGCTGGGGGCGCCGCCGTGCGCGCCTGTCGCGGGGCGCCTCATGCTGACGGGGCGTCTCCCGCCGCGTCTGTCGTCATCCTGCGGTCCCGGCTCACGTCTGGGTTTGTTTGACGGCTGGCGGACTTTGTTCTCTTGTTAACTGCTGCTTCTTTGCTTTGGTTGTTAGTCACCTGTTACGGATTTGTCCTGCGCAAATTGCAATGCGGAACTTAAAAGAACCCAAACAAGCAAAGAATAATGTCACGCTTTTAACGTGAGATGGTCCTCACAATCACCGCGATTAGGACTTAGAACGACGGACAAATTTACGTTAAAAAAACTTTCGTTCACCAGAACGTTGCTCATGAACACGTGCAATGACCAAGTTACCTTGGTATTTGCCCTGCTGACATTGCACCGGGTAAACATGGCCAATCGGTACAGTCTGTTTGACTGGTGATTGCGCGGTCTAAAGCAATCCAACGAGGTGCATGCACTGGTAAATGGACTGAGTATCGAAATTTAACAGTGTGGCAAGGGGTTATTAGCGCAGTCATTAGCTGGTCGTTACGGCTCGGGTCTTGTGTGTCGAGCCATGACACTCTGCCGTAGTCTGCTGCCGTCAGCTCGTAACATTGCCTTTGAACTTTCCCCAGTGCGGTTGTGGGCTGTTCAAACACAAAACTTAGCCTGCATCAGCAGTTATTTGTGTGACCGGCAAGTGTGTTTGGGCACGGAGCAGCGACCAAGCATTTAGCCACAGCTGGGCTGCGTCGAAATAGCCACTGAGTGCTAACCTATCGCTGCAAGCCTGTCGGTAAACACGGCTCGCGGATACCATCGGGTGCCATTGGGTCCGGCGCTGCGTCAGTTGTGAGCGTCTAATCAGTGCGCGAATCCCATTGGTGACGTGCTTACCACGTTCGCGGACCATTTTGTGCTAATGTCATCAATGATTTGCTGAAAAAGTTTGTTTGAAACATGACACCTGCGTTTTCCTGAGACAGCAGCAGCAGCAGTGGCACTAGTAACAGCTCCTGGCTACGGCCACAAACTGGCCTGCTTTTTTCTAATGCTGAACACTGCACGGAGAAAACTATGGCTAATGCAGGAGATCTTTAAAGGAAACGGTGGTTAAGGTCACGTTTTTTGAGTGGAGTTGAAGGAAACCCATCTCAATTCAACGCCATGCGATTTTGCGAGAGCTGCAACGGCGTAGGACCAAGCCCGACAGCAGTATCAGCAGCATTATCAGCCCCGCGGTTCGTCGAACGGCTCCTGGTCTGACCCACAGCCAGGACTGTACGGCACGACATTCGCCAGCCGTGCGCGCACGCGCCGTGACCGTGACGTCACGATCCACGTCGTTCGTGACTGAGCGTGAAGCCGCTTGCACGGCTGAAGTGGCACGCGTCACGTGACGCTGTCGTCCGGTGACCCCCGACCGTCGATAAGCTGAGTGCGAGGTTCATTTCGTGGGCAACTCAATAACGAGCGTTGGCAAGAGGTTTCCGCTATTAAGGCGTCAGCTTTGGAGTTTTGCAGAAGTATATTCCACCGTCGGAGGATCGGATCCGGCCGCACGAAGCAAGAGCATGGTTCCTGTTTGTTACGATTATTTATACATTCCCTTCTCCGCCCAATGCAAGAAAGTTCTCCTCATATGTCGTCACCGCATGTGTGTGTGATGTCAGTGACTGGGCTAGGTTAGAAGGATAGGACACGATAATTTTTAAAAAACCAAGAGTCGGATATATATTTCCCGTCATTTTTTTGGGTGGCCGGCCATTGGGTAAATGTTAAACTCCCGGGCAGATTGAAGGGCAGTTGCCACCTCACCGCACTCCTCCCTCGTCTGGCGGGGTTGGGAACCTTGCAGGTACTTTGCAAGGTCAAGCAGGTCCGAAAACCAGGGCCCTGCCACCTATACTGCAATTCCCATTAACCAATGAATTACCGAGATTATATTTTGAGTACATCTCAAGTGTCGGTCAAGCATCGCCGGCAAAAACCTTGAAACTAAGAAAAACAATGTTTTCAAAGGGTGCCAACCTGAGTGTAACCAACAAGAGAGAGAGCGGAACAGGCACGGCTTGGCTTGTAAGCGGGCACGAAGTTCCGGTTATCCCCGATGTTCCGCGCGTGATAATCGCTGTTCGGCTGACGCTGATGCCTCATGGACGGTGTCGCGTCAGGAAGAAAGCCTGTGACGTCACCGTGATCGGCCGGCGAGCGCGTGCTGCGCGAGCAGTGTGATGCGCCGGCGCTGAATCACCACCCGTCGCGAGCACCTGTGACGCCTGGTTTGCTGATACCCTGCCGGCGCGCGGCTCGCCGCGGCCCTCCGTGCACGGACGGGCGACTGACCCGTCCCCCTGCCCGCCCAGCCGCCCTCCCGCGCGGCTACCGCCACACCGCCCCGCTGTTCAGCCGCCATGGCTGCGACGGCCGTCTGATGGTCGGCCCCGACTGACTACGCTCTGACGGCCGGCAGGGCATGGCCTTTACGCTGGAGGAGCGGCAGCGGCTGGGAATCCACGGCCTGCTGCCGCCCAGCTTCAAGACCCAGGAGCAGCAGGTGCAGCTCTGTATGACGAACCTGGCGCGCTACCAGGAGAACCTCAACAAGTACATCTATCTGATGGGCCTGCAGGTGAGCGGAGCGGTGGAGGACGAGGTTGGGGTGGGGTATTGATAGCTTTGGATCTGAGACGGTGATCGAACGGCGGCGAGGGCTATGTGTTTTGTGCCTCAGGCAATGTTTTTACGGCCCCCGGCTATTTATTCTCTGACTCACGCACAAAAACAGGAAATACGAGCCCACCTCCAAACAGCCTTGATCTGAAACTTTCATTGTGTAAATTGTGCGTTCGTAAACCACTGCACCCTGGTGAATGATCACATGCCAGCCATGTGCTGTGATTCGTGATGGCTGGGGGGGGGGGGGGGGTGCTAATTATTGCTTCGTCATGCTGGGCCAGATGGCCTGAAGCATTACACACGTGTAAGAACTAATTACAGGTCCTATGGCCACGACACTGATGCCACCAAGGAGTGTTCAACAATCAATGCGTTTGAAGTTGTTGGAACCACTAGGACTCAGGGTTTCTATCTACCGATCTTAAACGGCGCCCATCGAGTGAAATAAGAGGCACTGATTGGTCAAGTCGTGCTCCTTACAACACAGTGCAAGTTCTTTGGGCAAACGAAAAAAAGTAAACTTCAACCCCCCACAGGACTTCGATTTAAGGGCAACAATATAACATGCAGAGTTGTGTTATCAAAATGGTACATGCACAGGACTGTGCAAGGCTGCCATACTGCAGAGAAGGCTTTGCCCTTGACGTGGAGTCTCCTCAACCAGAGCATGGATCAAACTGGACCGAATTTCGTTGTCCAAAGGAGAGGTGTTACGGACAAAAGACACAGTTGTCTGTGGACTAGGAAATAAGACCACTGCTCCGAATGTAGACGCATATGACCAGCTGTTCATTCAGGAGATTACCGAACCTCACAAAAGCTGCGCGGTCTTGCAGAAAGACGCTCGTGATCACAGAACCATTTGGACCACTGAGCCACATTTACTCTTCTCACCTACCAAAACCCCTTTAAGTATCTGGTTTGTTGCACGACACGTGCAAGGTAACTGCTGCTACTGTTGGCATTACAATTCCTCATACCGATTGTTACAAAGGAACGTTGAAACACTGCTGGTTGCAAGTCTTCAACCGACAACTCTGCTGGATTACAAGCCATGACCATGGCTTCAAGGCATGCTTGATGTGGGCGAGATACAGCGGCCTCTGAACACTCAGGTCGACACCTCCACTTGGCTTGATTGCCACTTGCCACTGATTCCCAGACGGGCCCTGGAGTTGCATTTTTCTGAGAGCAGTTTTATCGGAGCTCGAGCTCACCGGTCTCGAGTCCCGTGGTCGGCTCACACGCCAGCGCACTGGTCTGGAGTCCCATGGTGAGCTCACAGGCCAGTGCACTGGTCTGGAGTCCCGTGGTCGGCTCACATGCCAGCGCACTGGCCTGGAGTCCCGTGGTCGGCTCACGTGCCGTCCCTCTGCCTCGTAGGACCGGAACGAGCGCCTCTTCTACCGCCTGCTGTCGGAGAACGTCGAGGCCATGATGCCGCTGGTGTACACGCCGACTGTGGGCCTGGCGTGCCAAAAGTTCGGCCTGATCTTCCGCCGTGCCAGGGGCCTCTTCATCAGCATCCACGACAAGGGGCACATCTACGATGTCCTCAAGAACTGGTGGGTGCCATAGGGCGGTTGCACGGTCGTGTCTGCGGACCTTTAGATCGTGTCAGGAGCTACATCGGGATAATGGGGAGGAAGGGACTGTCATGTCTTGACTCATATATCGCCCTATTGGTCCAGAGGGCGTGCCTCCCCCCCCCCCCCCCCCACACACACCAGGATGGCACACAGAGGTCATTACATGGCGGGTAGGACCAGGTCTGATAGACGTGACATTGCGAATACCGTGTTGTTTATCATATAAGTACGACGGCTAACTCACGTTTTAGTGCTCTTCGGGCTGGCGTTGGGTGCAGCGTTCAACAGAGCCAGCTGAATAAATTGCAAACTGAAGTAGACAAATGGTGAAGCCTTTTAGCTTTGCATCCTGTGCATGCAGTGTCCGACGATGCAGCATTTGCTCACGGACTTAGGTGACAGGCAGTGCCGGCGATGAGTGTGCTGACACCGTTATCTGCCGTAGCGATCCTTTCACCCGCTCCTGTGGACTGCATTGATGAAGCTGCTGCCTATCCTTGTGACCTGGCCTCGTGATGTGGTCTGCCCCTGTGACGCACGCCAATGACCTCGTGGCCCTTGCCTGTGACCTGACCCGACGGCCTTGGGACCTGCCCGTGTGACCTGACATGTGGCTTACGTGACCTGAGCCGGTGACGTTTGGCAGGCCGGAGCACGACGTGCGCGCGGTGGTGGTGACGGACGGCGAACGGATCCTGGGCCTGGGCGACCTCGGCGCCCAGGGCATGGGCATCCCGGTGGGCAAGCTGTCGCTCTACACAGCCCTGGCCGGCATCAAGCCGCACCAGTGTCTGCCCGTGGTGCTGGACGTGGGCACCAACACGCAGGTCAGTCGGCACCCACTCTGCGCGCCGCTGCACCAGCGCCGTGTCGTGGCGGCGCCGTGTCCTTTCGAGAGCACTTAGATACGTGTGCACTGTGTACTGAAGGCCATTGATACCGTTATCATACGTTCGTGGAACTGCACGCAATTTGCTGTTAGGTGAGTAAATGGAAGCATACAGTTGCCTGAAATGGATGCTATTGACTAGTTCGATTGGCTATATTCGCTGTGTAGTTGAGCAGCCCGCCAATGATCGACATTTTGATGGCTCGTCACTGGTCACTTCAGGACCTGCTTGACGACGAGTTCTACATCGGGCTCCGACACAAGCGGGTGACTGGCTCCGAGTACGACGAGTTCATCGATGAGTTCATGCAGGCGGTGGTGAAGCGGTACGGACAGAACACGTTGATCCAGGCGAGTCATTTGATACTGCGGAACGCAGGATGGCGGCCACCGGACGGAAGGCCCTGGACGTGACGATGCAGCTCACTGTTCCGTTCGACCAGTGGAAGCTCCTGTTGGTGGGCGTTGCCTTTGATGGCTTGATTGCAAATGGGATCATGTGCAGCAGGGCGAGCGTGCTCTGGGGTTGTTCGTGTTATACTGGCGCAATTGCTTAATTCCGTCTCAAGCAAAGGCCGTATTATGCCAGCCAGCGGTGCCGGGCACACCGTCATGTGCCAAAATATATGATTCGCAACTCTGCTGACTTCCAGTTCGAGGACTTCGGGAACCACAACGCATTCCGGTTTCTGGAAAAGTACAGGAACAAGTACTGCACGTTTAACGACGACATCCAGGGCACGGCGTCGGTGGCGGTGGCCGGCCTGCTGGCCGCCATGAGGAAGCTGAACTCGCGGCTCTCCGACCACACATTCCTCTTCCTTGGGGCCGGAGAGGTCAGTGGCGAGCACCGGATCAGGACTTGGGGCGCGCTGCTAGATGGCGCTGGTTGACTGTCTCAGTGGGATTCGTCCGCCGTGCCTCAGGCCAGAGGCCGTACTTCATTGGTCAAAGGAAAAAAATAAGTTTTCGCCCGAATCTGCGCCGTTTTTTTTGTTGTTGTTATCAGTATGGTTGCATATTTGTGTTTCTATTTTTTTTATTCTAGGTGTATGTTATTTATTAGGTGTTGTGACATATTATTCCAGCTGTGTGTTCCGACAGCCAGGTCATTATTGTTGCGTTTTTGTGTTGCTATGATAGGTGTGTGTACCGACAGCCAGGTCATTATTGTTGCGTTTTTGTGTTTCTATGATATGTGTGTGTTCCGACAGCCAGGTCAGTATTGTTGCTTTTTTGTGTTTCTATGGTAGGTGTGTGTTCCAACAGTCAGGCCAGTATTGTTGCGCCTTTGTGTTTCTTTGATAGGTGTGTGTTCCGACAGCCAGGTCAGTGTTGTTGCGTCTTTGTGTTTCTATGTTAGGTGTGTGCTCCGACCGCCAGGCTTCTCTGGGTATCGCCAACCTGTGCGTGATGGCGATGGAACAAGAGGGTCTTTCTTCGGATGAAGCCCACGGCAAGATCTTCCTCATCGACTCCAAGGGCCTGATTGTCAAGAACCGGCCGAAGGGTGGCGTCACGGGCCACAAGGTCGATTACGCCAAAGACATGCCTCCAATGAAGGCGCTGGCTGATGTCGTGAAGAAGCTGAAACCGACGGCGCTGATTGGTGAGGAGGATGCTGTGTTGGTGTTCGGGAGGACTGCATTGGCGATCATCGGCATGGTGCAGCAGGTTCAATAAGTCATTGGCGTGCGTTTGAGATTTGATCTGAATCGGCTTTCAGTCCTGTGGACCATGACCCCCGTGGTGGTTCGTCATGTTGCATCGAGTGCATGTTCGAGTCGGCCAACGGGGCGAGACGCGTCCTTCGCAGCAGCACCCTGATGTTCTTGTTCGCCCGATGTCTAAGGCTGTGCCCGGTGTCTGCTTGTTACAGGGGCTGCCGCTCAGTCCCAGGCGTTCACCGCCGATATTCTGAAGGACATGGGCGAGTTCAACAAAGAGCCCATCATCTTCGCCCTGAGCAACCCCACCAGCAAGGCGGAGTGCACCGCCCAGCAGGCCTACGAGGCCACGCAGGTCAGGCACCGGGCGGCGCTGCATGCTGACGCCGAGTCGCTGGCCAGACCTTGAGCATCCCTGCGGCCCGCAGGGCAATGACCGAACGCGGGTCAGACACTAGACAACTCCTATGGGCTGGTGAGGAGACACGAGTCAAGTAGCGTGGGACCCCCTGCGCGCGCGGAGGTAATGCGGGCCAGCCTGCTGACAAAGCGTGCGGGGTGGCCAGAGGACACCGGCCAGACATGAGAGGGACCCCTGCAGGATGTGTTTGACCCGGTTGCGATCGGTGGCACGACGCTGTAGCCGGGCCAGGGCACAGCTCAGACACTTGTTAACCATCGCAGACTGACGAGGCATAGTGTGTTCCCCCACTCTGCAGTGTGCGTGTGAGGCTGAGACCACTCATGCCAACCAGCACCACAAGCGTCTGGAAAGTGCCGTGGACCTCCCCGGCAACCGCTGGGAGACATATATCGGCAGCTTTGTCCACGCCACATGCGGCAGTCCCGACATACCGCCGGTCACCTGTCGGAGTCGTGATTCCGGAGCCCCCGGGTCGCTGTGTTCACCTGGCCACGGCCAAGCCACGCGCCTGCAGTAGGTGACTCTGGTCGGCAGGGCCGGGCTATCTTCGCCTCGGGCTCTCCTTTTGACCCGGTCACGATCGGCGGCAAGACGCTGTATCCGGGCCAGGGCAACAACGCGTACATCTTCCCGGGAGTGTCGCTGGGCGTCATCTGCACCGGCATGCACCACATCGGCGAGGAGGTGTTCCTGCGCGCCGCCGAGGTGAGACACGCCACGACTCCCGCGCGCCGCCGAGGTGAGAAACGTCACGGCTCCCGCGCGCCGCCGAGGTGAGAGACGTCACGGCTCCCACGCGCCGCCGAGGTGAGAGACGTCACGGTTCCCGCGCGCCGCCGAGGTGAGAGACGGTACGGCTCCCGCGCGCTGCGGGGGTGAGAAGCGTCACGGCTCCCGTGTTCCGCCGGAGGTAAGATGCAAGCAAAAATATGAGTCTGTCCGGACTTAGATTTGGACTCATGACCTATCTGGAATTGGGCAAAAGTGAATCGATTCACTTTGCAGACGATTTGAACTCAGAAGCGGACGCATAAATTTGATAAACTGTGGACTCTGACACGTTCTTGAAGTAGAGCGTGCAATTTGGAATGCGGGTTAATCTCAGGCTTTCGCTCGATGCTCAACATGGTTGAGGATCATACAAATATCAAAACAAACATCTCGTCCACGAACATGGTGTGGAAGGGATAGCCACATGTTGGGTGTATGGTAAGGTATCCATATGCCTATTTAATTGTCCGAGCCGGGGTGTCCACGTTCCCTTCGTGTACGTCCGGTTGGTTCGATTGTGCTGGGTTCGGTTACTTTGACAAGATTCAGGGGAACGTTGTCAAAACTTTGGAGCGCATATTATCACACTTTTGCAGCGCGACAACTATTGTAGGGCTGACTTTTAAAGAACTCAAGTAAGGCTGCAGTGTGGTTATGGTTAGGTCAGACTGGGTTAGGCGTGACACCACACGGATCTGTTGCAGTTCAATCCAAACGAAACGTTACGGTTAAAAGAAGATGAGTTATAGATATAGTGCATTAGAAATAACGTCTAAGAACGAAATCTGTGGGACCAATTTTGGTCTCAAGCGAAAAGTAGGACTGGAGATCCAGTGAATCGGGACCCTGGCTTGGACTTAAGTTCCTGGACTCGGACCCATACTTGGTGAAAGGTCACGGCGCTTGTGTTGGTGATGCTCTTTGACATATAGTGCCTTGCGATGAGTATGCTCCCTTGCGATACGTATGTTTGTATGTTCGTTTGGTAGTTTCACGAATGCTTTTGTATCTTCCAGGGCTGTACAAACTTGCTCATTCGTGAATTGTTGAATCTGTACTCCGCACATAGCAGTACAAAGCGCCGCGTTCTTTTGTAAAATTGTCGGTACTCATCTGGCAGCAACGTTATTGGGGGAGCGAGGTGCCGTAAAACGCCGCTCATGTTACGCTCATGCGTCACTTCGAAACAAAAATATTGTTGTCAGTTAAGCGTTGTCGGTTTGTGTGACATGGCTGGCTTCTGGCCTCACAGCAGTTGATGAGAAGTGGCCCATACTATGTAAGACAGCGGTTTAAAACGGCAGCCAGCCTGCAACGTGGTGTGACGCGGCCGTTCGGCAGGCGCTGTCTCTGATGGTGTCGACGGAGGACCTGGCCCAGGGCCGGCTCTACCCTCCGCTGAGCGCGATCCGTGACGTCTCACTCAAGATCGCCGTCCAGCTGGCTGAGCACGCCTACAAGACAGGTGAGCACCCTCGGGGTGGTGAGCGCCCGTGACCCGAGACCAGTCTCTGTCAGCAGGTCAGGTGTGCGGGACAGGTGGGTGTCGGTGATCTGTGGGCACAGGTAACTGCCAGTGTAGGGCGGCTCGCTGGACAGGTGGTCGTCCGTGACGTCAGAGAATGGACTTCGACGGGAGCTGATGGCTGGCATGCATGATTGGGAAACGCTTTGACTTTCAATGAAGATCCGTGGGCAATTCGATCTTTGGTAAGCAGCGCTGTGCGTCGCTGCGTTGTTTTTGACGGAATCTTAGTGCGCTTGGACCCGTCCGGTGCCGACGCTTTTCGGCGTCTGCCAGTGAACACTTGTTGGAGCTTTCTGCACTGGCAGAAGTGTTGCCTGCGTCTGGCTTTGCCTGGCCGCCTGGTGCGCGCTGCCGTGTGCTGAACTCGGGAGCTCTTCAGTACATGCGGCGGGATCTGATGATCAAGGCTGCTGTGCGGCGGTGCGCCTCAAGTGAACGGTGCGCCTTTCAGGGACAGCCTCCACCTACCCCCAGCCGGATGACCTAGAGGTCTTTATCAGGGCTCAGTTGTACGACTTCCACTACGGAAGCTCCATCCCAGAGGCGTACCCCTGGCCCTCTAGTCTATAAGGTTGGTCGTGTGCACCCCACCCCGCCTGCCGCCACCGCTGCCTCCGTCGTCACCCTGTCTGCGAGCCCGCCGCCAGAGCCTAAGCTTGGCTTGAGACCCTCCTCTCTGGAGACCCACGTAGTCAACTGGAGGCTGTGCATGAGCACCGGTGGCTGTGTTTGTGGACTGCCGCTTCTGCAGCACAATATCGGGTATATGCGGTTACTCGCGCCTGGTTTTGTCCTGCTCGAATGTCGTGAGTGTTCCACCCGTACCTGCGATCTGTTGCGAGTGTCTGCGCCAACAATCTAGATGCAACCGGTTTGACGGAGACTAAAGAAGGCGCCTAGGGGACCCTTTGCATGTGGTGCGCACGCGCAGACAGCCGTGCTCGGTACACTGACGTCAGACATCAGTTGTCCGCATTATAAAGGCAGTTGTGCCGGCAGTCTAGGGATAACCGGGGAAAAGTGGTCTGTACCGCGTTGCACTCTGGCTCAAGTCAGGTATATGTAGGTGTGCCAGATATGTTGGGATTGACAGCTCTCAGCTTAGGAAACCAGCAAGCGTATTTACTAAATTCATTATTTCATGGGCATTCAGTAGATGTATTTTGCGGTTCAAGGCACGTTCACACCTTGCAGACGGACTTCATAATCCTGTGTAGGAACTGTAGTGAGTTCCCTGTTGTGGTCTCGAGGTCACATTTAACGTCGCAAACTGCAAAGCGCGGGTAAAAAGAGATACAAAATGGCATCCCTCTAGTCCACAACAGCCGAGATGGGCAGAATCCGCAGCGTATTCTGTAGTTGTCAGCTGTTACGGACTAGAAGGATACCACTTAAGAGCTTTTTATCCGTACTTTCGAGCCCGCGGGCCAAAATGCGACACCTATAGTCCTCAACAGCTGATTGGAGCGTTTTTACCCATACTTTCGAGCTTGCGGGCCTAAATGTGACACGTTTAGTCCTCAACAGCCGCCTGACTACCGAATCCAGCCAGCCAGTTTGCAAGGTGTGAAGAGACCTGTAGAAATGCTGGCTGATGACGTGGTGCCCCTAAATTATGCGTCGTTTTTATGCTCTGGGGCAGAATGGGAGGTGGGGCTGAAATACAATACGTACCCACTGGTCTCTTCCATTTTGGGGTTGCCCGGCCCCTACCAAAGACACACCGGTCCCACGCCACTGCACCTGCTATTTAGCTAATGGCTGATCACGAGTGTTGTGCCGAGGCATCCCTCGCAATCGCTGAGTTTTGCACAGCGTGGTCCTTTTGCTATTTTCCCAGTCGTCCACCACCACTTCTTGCGCGTGTGTCTCAGCTAAAATGTTCTCGCGTGATGTAATGCTACGCACCTTGCCCAGATGCCTTATCTAGGACGCAGAATCTTCACAGTCATGTTCATCAGTCAAGTCTTCCCGTCCCCTTTCTGTGGGGGAGATGCAGATAGTGTTCCGCGGCCCAGACCTGCTGCGCGCTGTTCTGCTGTGTGCTGTGTAACAGCCTGACACACGCTGGTGTGATAGGCACTGCGTCGCTGTATCCGGAGCCGAAGGACAAGGAGGCGTTCATCCGAGCTCAGCAGTACGACTTCGAGTACTGTAGCCCCCTGCCCGCCACGTGGAGCTGGGAAGGCGTGTCGAATGGCCAGTGAGCCCCAGCCCGACCCCGGCGACGCTGGCGCCGCCTCCCGGCCGACCACGGCCGCCATCTGACGCGGGACCGACCCTGGGCCGACCGCACCGATTGGCGGGCTGCTTTGTGTCAGGAAGGGAAGCATTGTAGAACGAGTGAAATGCAACAGGGTCAGATTATGCGTAAAAATGCTGTAGCATGTCTGACATGAAGCAATAGACTTGTGCGTTCTTCCGCCCGCGCTGCCCCCCCCCCCCCCTCCCGCCGCTCTTGAGCGGCCTCGTTGGTAGAAGATACGTCTATCAAACACGACCAACCTGTCCAAAATTATTTGCTGGTTTGCCAGCTACTAAATCAGTGAAGCGGTAGAACTCGTTTACGCATGCGTTGTTGATGTCCTAATATATCAAGTGTAGTGAATGGTGCCGGACTGAACGGGAACAAGTATAAATACACATCGTACCGTTAGTGTTCCGCTTCTTGTGCTGCAGACGTCTCGTGACCCGCTGTCTCGCGCACGGGTCCCAGCTAACCATTGTTCCAACTAACCATAACTTTGTTGTTCGGCGCCATTTCTGTTTGGGAAAGGAAAATGGCACATCTTTCTACGTGCGCAATTGAAACGTAATTCGTCACTGCATCCAAACTCTTTCAGCTGTTGAATTTACACTATGTTGTAGCTGTCGTTCTTTCCGATCTTCGAAAATGCCCGCTTATTTCTCGACCGGATGCGCTCCTAATCCTCGATTAAACGAACGATGAGTGTAAATGACACCGCAGGTACTGAGTTTGTGTGCAAAACGGCGTGTTCGCGCTCTGCACCACAATTTTTCACACTCGTTATTGCTTGCATTCAAGTATATACGTTGATGTGACCGAACCACATCTGGCATTAGGCATGACAGGGGCAGAGCCACCACCTGATGACTGGGGATAGAATGAGACCGGGGGCGGAGCCGGGTGATCGATGACATAGTTTGGAGAACATCTGCACCCAGTCCCGTATTTAACCAATCTTAACTAATCGGTATAAAATCAGGTTCAAGCTGAATCAGCCTGGCGTCGCGCGCACGCGTGCTACGACTTCTAATGCAAAACAGGCTGCCCCGACTGAGCACAAATACAAATTTGATGTTGGCGGAACCGCATCACAGAGTTCACAACCCGGACGGGCCGCCAAATGGCGATGAACTTGCCGCCCCGACCACGCTCACCGCTGCGCTTGGGCGCAAGTGCAGCGAGGTGGCAGAACCAATGGTGAACCGCAGCGTAAGGTTTGGACTTTCAAGCCTGCGCTATCTCCACATTGTGTCCGCACTATCGCCCCAGAACCCAGCTCACGCTATGCAGTTTTCAAATAAACAGACGACCAGAATTTGTCATCGTACTGGGTGTGCCTACCACTGGCTCTGTTTCCCGTTAAACTGTTGAACGCAGCATTGCGTTCTTTCAGCCTATGCTCCTATAGGGAGCCAACAAACATAGCATATTCCTCGTAGCGTAATTACTCAGAAAAAATATGGCAAGAAGTCCAGTTTATTCGTAGCGTTCATCTCCACATAATTGAGCCAGGAGCTCTCTGCATATGGCATACCTGTAGCGGAAGTGATCACCAAGACGTAAAGCTCTATACTATCGTGCTGCTCGGGCCTGCTTGTCCATTGCCATTATGGACGTCACCAGACGCTGCCAGATACACATCAACAACGCAGCACACATCGCAAGAGCAAGGAGATGACAGGCACGTAAAAGAATAGCAAACTCCGGACCAAGTACGGGTCGCACGGCCCAATCGAGAGTCGCTGAGGCCAGCCACACGGCCCAATCGAGAGTCACCGAGCGCAGCCACACGGCCCAATCGAGAATCGCCGAGGGCAGCCACACGGCCCAACCGAGAGTTGCCGAGCGCGCCACGCGGCCCAATCGAGAGTCGCCGAGGGCAGCCACACGGCCCAACCGAGAGTCGCCGAACGCGCCACGCGGCCCAATCGAGAGTCGCCGAGGGCGGCCACACGGCCCAATCGAGAGTCGCCAAGGGCGGCCACGCGGCCCGACCGAAGGCCGCCGAGAGCAGCCGCACGGCTCAGTCGAGGGCCATTGCGCGCAGCTGAGGGCCGCCGAGCGCCACCGAGGACAGCAGCACGGCCCAGTAGGAGACCGCCGAGGGCAGCACCACGGCCAAGTCGAGGGTCACGGAGAGCAGCCGCACGGCCCAGCCGAGCGCCGTCGAGGACAGCAGCACGGCCCAATAGGGGACCACCGAGGGCAGCACCACGGCCCCGTCGAGGGCCGCCGGGAGCAGCTGCACGGCCCGGTCGAGGGCCCAGGTCGCACGGTCCAGTGGAGACCAGCACTTGCGCTGCTGGCCGTGCCGGCTCACGGCTCAGCCAGCGGGTCTTGGGGCGGGTAGAGCCGGCCGCCGGCCAGCGTCACCTGGATCAGCTCGCGCTGCGCCTCGGCCGGCAGGTGCCGCCGCACCAGCTGGCGCACCTGCTCCGGCGAGTCCGCCAGGTGCGCGCGGCGCAGCAGCTCCAGCACGTCCTCGGTGGAGACGCGGCGCCGGCCGTCCAGCACCTCGGTCAGCTGGCCCAACACCAGCTCCTCGTACTGCTCGATGGCGCGCACAAACTGGCGACGAGCACGGTCAGCCGGTGTCAGAGCGAGCGCGGCACGCGTGCATGGCGTGCGTTCTGGCCGTGGGCGGACTGATCGACTGGGCGCTCGGCCGCCCCATGTACCGTACAATGTCAGCCGATGCCAGCAATCACTAATTTCAGATTAAGTTCACCACATGAAACGTCCCTGCAGCGCCATCTGTAAACGAATGGAACTCCCAGGAATGGGATGGCGGGTCCTGGAATGATAAGATCGTATCCTGTACACCTTGGATCCCACGTAGAACTTTTGCAGCTATTTGTCATACACACCTGATGAGCTAGTGATGCCACAGAGTGCCTGGTTAACATGCAATTGAATCATGCTGGTGCGCCTTGACATGTTACATAAAGCAACAGATGCCATATCTAGGGCCCATTACTCAAGTTAGAGGGATTATACGGTAAATCGCGGGGGAGCAAGTTTTTAAGTGTTGTTCTGCTATAGTGCAACACAAAGTGACCACGACAAATGTTGCCACCCCGTACTTAAGCCCGCATCAATGGCCCGGCCGGGCTTCGTCGTCATCTTGGGCGAGTGACTCACCTCACACTGCGCCTCGCTGGTGATCTTCAGGCCCGTCGCGCTCGCCTTAAACCAGCGCTTGTTGGCCGCGTCCGTCTCCTTAAACAGCCGCACACGCGCCCCGAACACATGGCCCGCCCGAGGCGGGCGGGCGCAGGGCGGCCTGCGGGCGGCGCTGGCGGCGGTGCTGGCAGTGGCGGCGGCGGTGGTGGCGGCGGTCACGGTGTCGGGGAAGAGCGCGGCGTACCGCTCCTGGCGGGTGGGTCGCCGGCCTCCGGCAGTCCCTTGCCGCGCCGGGTATTCCTCGGGCAGCGTGTCGTCCACATCACTGAGCTCGGAGTCGTCCAGCTCGCCCGAGAACTCGTCGAAGAGCGCGGAGGCGGCCAGCGGGTCACCGCCGGCCAGACTGAGCCGGTACGGGTCGCCGGCCGCGGTGGCCTCGGCACCCTCGTCGGGCTCGCATGCCTCGCTGTCCTCGAAGAACACTGTGTCGCCGGCCGGCGTCTTGCTGAAGAGACCCTGGTCACCCACCAGGGTCGTATCAGGGTCACTGGATTCATCACCCGAAGCCCGGCCAGAGCGGCTCAGGTCACCACCTGAGGCCCGGACTGAGCGGCTCAGGTCACCACCTGAGGCCCGGACAGAGCGGCTCAGGTCACCGCCTGAGGCCCGGACTGAGCGGCTCAGGTCACCACCTGAGGTCCGGACAGAGCGGCTCAGGTCACCACCTGAGGCCCGGACAGAGCGGCTCAGGTCACCACCTGAGGCCCGGACAGAGCGGCTCAGGTCGCCACCCGAGGTCCGGACAGAGCGGCTCAGGTCACCACCTGAAGCCCGGACAGAGCGGCTCAGGTCACCACCTGAGGCCCGGACAGAGCGGCTCAGGTCACCACCTGAGGTCCGGACAGAGCGGCTCAGGTCACCGCCTGAGGCCCGGACTGAGCGGCTCAGGTCACCGCCTGAGGCCCGGACGGAGCGGCTCAGGTCACCACCTGAAGCCCGGACAGAGCGGCTCAGGTCACCACTTGTGGCCCGGCCAGAGCGGCTCAGGTCACCACCTGAGGCCCGGACGGAGCGGCTCAGGTCACCACCTGAAGCCCGGCCAGAGCGGCTCAGGTCACCACCTGAGGCCCGGCCAGAGCGGCTCAGATCGCCACCTGAGGCCCGGCCAGAGCGGCTCAGGTCACCACCTGAGGCCCGGCCAGAGCGGCTCAGGTCACCACCTGAGGCCCGGCCAGAGCGGCTCAGATCGCCACCTGAGGCCCGGCCAGAGCGGCTCAGGTCACCACCTGAGGCCCGGCCACGGTGCCGCCGGCGGGCGGACGCCCTGGGCTGACGACGGCCGCTGGACAGACTGGTGGTCGGCGTCCACCCGCCGCCGCTGTCCCCGCTCTGGTCCAGGACCAGGGCGCCGCTAGACAGCGCCGCTCTCGCCTGCGGGGCGCTCGCCAACCGATCGCCGGCCTCAGAGACTGCAGCGTCGGACTCGGCGGACTCCACTCGACCGGACCCGCGCCTCTGCACGGGCTGGGACGGCGGGTCTCCCGCAGCCGGCGCCGCCATGCCGTCCGTGCAGAAAGGAGCGCTGCCAGAACGGCCGAACGAAGAGGACATGCTGCTGCCACCAACCCCGGCTGCCTGCTGTAGCGCACCTCCGAACGAGGACGATATGCTCCGAACGTGGGCAGGCGCGTCCCGCACGCCGTACGCGCCGGCCTCCTCCAGCGTCGCGTCAGAGAACAAGGTCACGGACCCGGCAGGCGAGCAGCGGCCCACCTTGCTCGGTCCAGAGTCCGAACCGCTCCCCGCGGGCCTGCGGCTGCCGGCGGCGCGGCCGCCGCCGCCGCGCGGGACGCACGGCACGGCCGCCGCATCACTGCGCTCCAGTGCGGAGCCGGTCAAGCACCGGTCGGCCGAGTCGGCCGAGCACCGGGCCGAGCCGGTTTCGTCGAGCGCGAGTCTCCGGGAGAAGGTCAGTGAGTCGGCGACGACACCGCGCTGGCAGGGGCGCACCTCCTCGCCCGGCGTGTGATTCAGACACGCCGCGCTAGCGTCGACCAGTTTCGCCTCCTCGGAGGGCTCTGCCGACACGCCTGCCTCGGTGTCCTCGCCAGTGACGCGACCGACGTCGCTGAGGCCGCCTCCGCTGTCCGCCTCCCCCACACTCTGCAGCTCGTCGCACCCCTCCTCCGGCAGCGTATCGCTAACAGCCGACGACACCAGACGGGAGCGGCCGACGTGCGACGACCGGCGCGGCGCATCGGCGCACACCGCCAGCGAGAGCTCAGCCA